CGGCGGGGCCCGTGTCCACCTTTGCCTTGTTGCTCTCCCGCCAGCCTCGGAGATGTCCAAGGACTTGCTGCCTGGGCCGTACCCCCGGACACCGGAGGAGCGGGCAGCTGCCGCAAAGAAGTACAATATGCGGGTGGAAGACTATGAGCCCTACCCTGACGACGGCTTTGGGTGAGCTGGGGGGTTCCGTGCCCCTGCAGCCGGGGAGCAGGCCAAGGCCAGCACCTCCCGGCAGGCTGGTAGTCTCTGTTGAATGCCTGGAGATGCTGTGCTGTGAGCTTAGAGATTTGAAGGCATGCACCAGTATTTTAAAACAGGAACAAATGGAATGAGTTGGAGGCCTGTGTGAATAAAGTGTTGTATGAGAGACTAAATATGCCGTTGTAATGCAGGGCTAAGAGGGATGAACTGAAAGCCATCTCTGAAATAAATGTGGGGGAATATGTTGCTGTGTGCAAAATGCTAGATAACTAGGGTTCTGTATTTCACTTAAGCTTGCATTTTCTTCCAGCTAGTATAGCCTAAAAAGGCCACTTTGAGGAATGCAATTTGTTATGGTGACTGGCATCGAGGTGATGACTGTTGTGCTAGTTGCATGTATGCATTTAAAATATGTGTATACATAGGAGCTATAAAAACAAAGTAATGTTTAAGTCTTCCGTTTCCATAGGCCTATGCTATGGTGTCTCCCACAAAATGTTTCTAAGTTAATACAGATTTCTTGTATGTTTGGGTATTTTTCTGTTTCACACAGGTATGGTGACTATCCCAAGCTCCCTGATAAGTCGCTTCATGAGAGAGACCCCTGGTACCAGTGGGACCAGCCGGACATGAGGCATAACTGGGGAGAGCCGGTAGGGATGTTAATAGCGCCTTTCATTATGATTGCAATGTTACTAAATACTAACGTGCACATCTTGTCAGTGCTTTCTGTTTAATCCTTTGTGTAATTGCATCATCAACTGCAGCTGTGTTGCCTGTGCAAGCAGGGACAATCAGTTGGAGGGAAGCTTAGGCTGTGGGCATCAGGGTAAATATTTTGAAACTGTTGAGGAATGTTAACATCTTACTACATATGAGGAGGGAGACTTTACAAACTCAATTTTTTTTCTGTAGGAATAGGAAAGTCTCATCCATTTTCTTTGCCTGATGTGACTCAGTATGAGAACTTAGTTCAGAATCACTTAGCAAAGAAGCCATAATTTGAGTAAAGTCCTTCTAGTACAATGGAAGTAACTACTGCTGCTTTATTACTTCAGGGTTGTTTTGGGATAGTATATATGTAAAGAGGTTTTCTCTGAAGAAAGTTTGCAAGATATCATTAAGAGAAATAGATGAATAGAGCATCTGTGTTGACTTCCAAAATTTAAGTTCCTCAGACTCCTTGTAAAGGAGTAACTTCAGTTAGCGCATGGTCTTTCTGTGAATGACTGCAGTCTAACTGTGGTTACTGAACTTGGTAATTGACTTGAGCTCTTCTTAATGAAAGCAGAGATTATGTAAGCATGTGTATGTAATACATCATAGTATAAACATGCAAGAGCATCATAGCATGTGTACCACGGTAAAATTTAAAGTAAATGTTGTAATGACTGTAGAAGCACATGAAGAAACCTGTGGTGATTCTGTATTGTGGTGGTGCTTGGTACAGGCAGGCTTGTGTAGGTACCCTTGCAGGTGGAATATATTGCTGTGTCTCAGGTGTCAGCAGATGCCTCTGTTTAGGCAGTAGAATTCTGCTCGGTCTGGTGCTCTGGGTTTGATAACAAATGGCCCTGTGTGCAAAGGGGAAAGATGGGGAGCTAGAGGCAGGACTTGAGCTGCAAATTAATGAGTTCTCTGCTTTCATTAATGTGAAAGGGGACTATAAGCAGAACATGCTTAGGACTTCCCTATGTATAATTTGAGGCAGAAGCTTGAATGCCCTCTGCTTCAGTCAGGAAGGGCATTATCTTGCTACCAGCCCTGCTCTTGTTGTGGAGTCACAGTGGCAGGTGCTCTACCTGTTTTGAGAAACCAGCTTCCATGTGGCAGGTATTCCTTCTTTGTTTGAAATAATGTCTGTTGAGGTGTGTGACTGAACTTCCATAAATGAGGGTACTGATTCATACCATGACTTTTCAACAGTGCTGGGGGACAAATCTAAGGTGGAGTGATTATGTATATAATACAAGCTGCTGCTATCCTATATTTAAGCATATTGTCTGGTATAAACATAGGGTGGAATTTGGAGTCCTGAGTTATGTAAGTGACAACTTGCTGTGACTGTAGGTAGATCACTTATCTCCTTTGTGGCTTTATCACCACTTGTGAGATGGGGATAAATCTGCTTCTGGCAGTTTTGTGAATGTTGTAAAGCACTTCTTCCCTTGATAGAAGCAGCTTGAGCACAGTTGATAAATGTGCAGCCATTTTCTTTTGTTCTTTAGATGCACTGGGACTTTGACATGTATATTCGGAATCGCGTTGATACATCTCCCACTCCAGTTCCCTGGCACACCATGCGCAAACACTTCCTTGTCTTTTTGAGTACCATGCTGATCATGTTTGGTCTTGGAGAGATCTATCCATCTTACAGGCCTGTGGTGAGTGACACACTTGGGTAAAGGGAATAAAAGTAGCTGTGTCTCTTGTCACCGCCGATGTGTAGGAAGAGTGGCTTTGCTGAAGCTGAATGATGGGTGGGAATGTAAAACTCTGCTGCTGGCAGGCGATGGGCCAAGGGGTGTCCTGTGGCCTCATCCAGCCTGAGTTGTTCTGTTGAATGGCTTGGCTCAGCCCACAGGTTCTGCTTTGTAGTGAGCAGTGCCTGCTTGTAGGGAACTAATTTTAAGTTGTACTTCTTACAGTATCCCTTCTTTGGTCTAGGTATTCTCCTCCCCTGTGTGCATCTGCACAAGGGACATGCTTTATCTCTTCTCTTGCCCTGTGTTTTTAGTTATATAATGATCTGGGTCATTTGGAATGTACTTCTGAAAAATACGTCTGAATACACAAACAGCTTTTGCAATACATTATCCTCATGCTGCGAGATGAACTTTTGGTGAAGATTAAATGCAAGACCACCTTGATGTTACTGTTAAAGGATGTGGATTTGTACAAAGAACTCTAACTCTGAATTTACTTCTCTTGTACTCTAATATCCCTGCTGAAGAACTTAAGAAATGTAAATTTTAGTTGTAAATGACAAGCCTTGATTTGGGTGGGGTGGGGTGAGACATTTTCCTGTTATCCCTTAATTTGCTTGGTGAATTTGCCACTATCTCTCCCTGTAGGGACCGAAGCAGTATCCCTTCAATGACCTGTATCTGGAGAAAGGCGGAGACCCCAATAAAGAGCCACCAGTGGTGACGCACTATGAAATCTGAAAGTTGTCAGAAGTGCTGTGTTTCTCCTGCATCAGCTCTGCTGGGGATGTCGTCTTCTCTAGTGTTCGCTGTGGCACGTGTTAACACTTGTTCATCAACTTTCAGCCACTAACTGCAGTGAAATATATCAATGATACCCACTGTGCTAGCTGTCTTCTGTTGGTTTGAGAAGGCTGAATGATGGCTGATGAAACTGAATGACCTTTGCCCCACAGATACTAGCCCATTTAGAAAACCAGTAAAGTTCTGCGTGCAGTCCTGGGACTGCTGCTAGTTTATGTACCTTGTACACAAACATTCCTTAGCTAAGCCTGTTTGTGGCAGATACTGCCTATTACCAAGTGGCTTACTCCAGGTGCTGCTTGGAGTTGAACAAGTGTCATCGTGTAATGTGAAATGACAGGCACAACCACAGTGGCCAGCGCTTGGGAGTCTCCTGCTGTCTGGATAACTGTCTGTCCTTACTGGGATTTGGCTTTGAGCTCTTCCTGATCTGACTACTCCTGAAATGAAGCTTGCACAACCAGTAGGAAGCAGTAGTGAGGCACAGAGCCTTGCAGTGTATGGCCTGATGCTGACAGCAGAGCTGAGGAGAGCAGTGGTACGAAAAGGCTGATGAGCAAGTCCAGCTCTGGCCAGACCTGTTCTGCTGCGCATGGGCTTTGGTCCAAGAGCACAAATGCCAAGTTGCTCCTGTACGGTCTGAGCTCATCCACCAGGGTTGGAGTTATGTCTGACCTGTTTCTGCAAAACACTAGTCTAGGGCCTCCTATGGCGTTATCAGCAGTTATACAATTTTATTAAGCTCCTAGATTTTTCCAGCTCTACTCTTCCCTTAACATAAGGGTTTTTTCCCCCTTGTTACTGGAGGCAATGGTACCTTCAGTACTGATTTACAGTGAAAGTTTTCTCAGCTGCTCTGTGCTAGGGCTTAGACCCTGCTGCCTGGCTGCAGGAGTGGGTGATGACAGAAGGCTAAGGGCTTGGGCTCTCCTGGGTGCTTCCTGTAGGCTGGATGCTGTCAACACCCTGTCATGACTCATAGTTTTGTGCTTTAAGAGAAGCAAGTATTTGTAGATAGAGATTCATGATTTTTTCAATCTATAAAGATTTTTAACCCCAGATTCTAAAGGATAGCTAGCTTGATCTCTGCATAGGGATTTCTGTAAGGGTGTATGTTGAAGGGGATGATGTGATTGACTGTGAGGACATACAAATGTGTGTGTAAATACAACGAACTTCTTTGGAGGTGCTTATTCCTCCTGGCTTTTGCAAGCTGTCACCTTCTCTTCTAGTTACAGAGATGCTTAATTTTAAATTACAGATTATTATTTACCCCAGAAGGGTTTCTAAAGTATTTTTTGAGCTGTGGGGACCTTGAAACTGAATTCTGTTACAAAGTGTTATGCAGGGGAAAACACTCCTTAGGGATACTTGAGTAAGAATTACTGTTCCAGAGCAGTTATGTGACAGCACTATATACAATGTTGTGATAGTGGTAAGAGTCCAAGTAAAATGAAAAGGATGAGGGCAGTAATAGGAGCCTTACCTTGGTGTATGTAAAGGGAAAATGGGGGTTTTAGTGTAGGCAATTTTTCTCAAAACAGAGAGGTGAGGGAAGGAGATCTGGGTTCTGCTTTTTTTTTTTTTCTTTTTTTCTTTTTTTTTTTTTTCCCCTCCTGGCAACTAAAATGCTTTTAGGAAAATATGTTCTGAAGCTGTGCACCCTTCACTTCTGCATGCCCTCTTGGGAAGGCTTAAATCTGTTGCTGAGGCAAAGCCCTTCTGGGAAAGGGTGACTTCAGAGGCAGCAGGCCCCAGCTCCCGCTATGGTCATTCTTGGCCTGCAGCATGAACCGTTTCAGAGTAGCGGATGGAGCAAATCCAAGTACTGTAAAACCAGAAAAGGTCCCCGATAGCCTCTTGGCTTGGGAGCCCCGTGCTGAGCCCCGGCGGCTGCTGAGGCCCTCCCCGGTCGCGGTGCCGCAGCTGAGGAGGAGACATCCCGCTCCTGGTCAGGAGAGCTGAAAGCACACTCCCCACACGCTTTCGGGACGCACCCGGAGGGCGGTAGTGGCCAAATTCCCCAAGGGGACGGGCTCCCGCACCCTGGTCGGCGGTGATGGCTCCCGCCCTGCGCGGCGGC